AATATTCTTTCTTAGAGTAGGTGATCTCATTAATTTTTATATTTGTAGCACCTTGTGTAGGAACTTACTGTTTATTGAATATTCACTTGATATTTAAATGTCAATGTCTGTACAGATTTTAAGTTCCTTATAGGTAAGATGCCTACTCCTACTCTGCTCTGTTGGCTGTGACATCTAGGTCTAGGAGTTGAGCTTACCCCTTTCGATTTTTTAAGAATTACTTTGTGTCAGGATCACACAGTACAGTTATATCAAGAGATAAAGTATTTAAATTATGTTTTCATAGTGGCAAATACTTATTCTAGGATGATGGAAGAAAACTTTATTTTTATTTTTAACTTAAAAAATAATCTAAGGTGGCCAGCATGTAACGTGGAGGTTGGGGCACTCGATCTCATGTATGTTTTAAGTTCCAGACTCAGAGGCTTGGAGATCATGCCAGGTGCATGTGATTATGTGTCCCAAATCCCAACAGAGATCTGGAGGGGAGGGGCATGGGGCGTAGCCATCCTCCTTGGGCATGATTTCTCAGTTTCCTTCTCTCCTTTTCTCTGTCTCTGGTGAACGCATGTGTCCTATAGCAAATAATAAATAAATAAATAAATAAATAAATAAAGGAATAAAATCTAAGCGACTTGATAGTGGTGCAGTGATAAGATGTGCTCTGTGAGAGATAGACCTACATGGAAAAATTACCCATTTTTGTGGGGAGGTCTTCCTGAGAACACTGGGCAAGTATGTTCCCATGATCTGGGCTACCCAAGCCTGTATTGGGGTATCAAGACCTTGTTGGGGTGCTGTATCTGTTTCTCTGTCTTTATCTTTCTCTCTGTGTTTCTTTCACTCATGGAATAAAGAAATAAACTATCACAACGACAAAATAATAATTGAAGTCTCTAATGGTTACTTGATGAAAATGACTTGAAATGACAAGGTTACGATCGTAGAAATAGATCAAGCTATATTTATTTCCTTAAATGTTGACCTTTGAAGAAATAGCATTTTTCATTTATATTTAAATAAAGTGCCTAAATGTTATTATTTCAGCAAGAGATAGATAATACCAGAAAGTAAAAGCAAAAATTAGTGGCAGATGGAGCTCATTAAGTTTATTCATCAAAGCAACAGAATTGCCGAAATTGTTTTTCTTACTCAATCTTTTCCACCGACTCAGAGACTTTTTGAGATTATTGGTGCAAGTCATAAATAATTTTCTTTCTGAGTAATCACTTGCTCAAACACTGATTGAGGCTGTTCTGTTTGATACGTAGAATTTGATACACATGATAACACAAATAATCCTTTTCAATAGGAATTATACAGGCTGATCTTTCTCTGAAAACTCAAAACATGATCATTCAGTGGAACATAGATTTTAATTTTTATAAAGTTTATAGTAATAACTTAAGAGTTATAATATGTTTAATATATTTCTGTGTTTAGAGTTTATATTCTGGTGGGACAAGATGGACAATAAACAAGAAAAATGACAAATCTTATTCATGTTACTGTTAAGTGATAAGGAGATAAAATTTAAACAGAACAGCAGACATGACTGTTGAGGTGGGTGAGGTGTGGAAGTGATAGAGGGATAGCCATGCAAGGTTCCTCTGAGAAGGTGACTTAAAGAGAGCAGTGATCAATGGGGTCAGAGAGGTGACCAGATCCAGTACTCTATCATCTTCAACAGGATTTGAATGTTTACTGAGTGACCAGGAGACTGCTGTAGAGTTTTTTTTTTTTTTTGGAGAGATTTTCACTGTAGGGTGCGTGCGCTCGCCAGACAGACAGAGACATAGAGACAGAAAGCGAGAAATCACCCCCCAGGGGGGATGGTCACGCTGCAATCCCTTCTCCTCCCTTCTCCTCTCGGGATCCTGGGCACGCACGCACACGCGCCCGGCGTGAGTTTTAAGCCACCGGGTCCGAGACACGAACCGCGGTCGACTACGTGGGAGTTCAGCGACATAGCCATTACGCTAACTGCTGGTTCCCAAGACTGCTGTAGAGTTTTGAGAGATGAGGTCTGATCTATGTATTCACAAGATCACTCTCACTGCTGTGTTGAGAATAGACCGTATCGTGAGGAAGAGCAAAACCAGAAACGGGGAGACGGGTTAGGAGGCTCTTCTGCTATTTTAGGGAAGAGGTACTGGTGGTGTAGAATAGGGTATTGGCAGTGGAGGGAGTGAGAAGTGATTGAATTTTGAAGTTCAGTGAATGGAAATCCCAAGTCCTTCAATGGATTTGAAATGAATGAAAAAAAATTTATGTGAAACTCTGGTACTGTTAGGGTGTTTATGAGAATGTTACTTGTTATTTTATGAAGTTAACTAGAACAATTTCATACTGGTCTTAGTGTTGGAATTATTTGTACTTTTCCCTTAAGCTGTTAGTTTCACTTTATGCGCTATGTGAATTTATAATTGAACTGTTTGACCACTAGAACACTTAGGATGAATTAATGACTCATCTTTAGAAAATACATTCAAATTAACAATGTTTGGTGTATTACACTTGTTTTAGTCACCCTACCATTGGTTTTGCCCTTTTTTGATTTTTTTTCTCAGTTTTAAAGTTTCCATTATTCCTTTTCTGTATTTTTTTTGTATTTTTTTCTGTATTGCTTTTATAAACTCTTATATTCTTTTTAGTACAATTAAGGGTACATATAAATATTTCTTTCATTGTATCTATGTGAGATACAACCACTCACAGTCTCTCAAGGTTGTGTCTATGCTCTTTTCATACTTGTTATTGTTTCTCTGTTATATAAGAATAAAATCTGACGGCAAGAATTCAAAACCGTCAGAATAGTTTATGTTTTGCGTGGAACATTAAATAAAGGAAAATTATCTTATGTAAGGAAAACAACTGATTTATTTGGTAGCTCAACTCAGCCGATCAGCTGAGTTAAAAGTCAAATCAATTGTTGGAATGAATTGCTAGTCACTAGTCAGTTTAATCAAAACAACTGGTCTAGTGAGATGTTGTATTGATGACATGTCCTGATTATAAAACTTGACCTTGGGTTTATTTTATGAGAGTATTTTATATGGGAAGCAGGTAGCTTAAAAAAACAGGAAGAATTTGCACACATTTAATATGATTAGATCATGAGGACTCCAAATATTGAACCAATTTATAAAAATCCTAAAGAGGGAACCAGCAGTTAGCGTAATGGCTATGTCGCTGGACTCCCACATAGTCCATCGCGGTTCGTGTCCCGAACCCGGTGGCTTAAAACTCAAGCCGGGCACGTGTGTGTGCATGCCCAAGATCCCGAGAGGAGAACGGAGGCGAAGGGATTGCGGCGTGACCATCCCCCCTGGGGGGTGATTTCTCACTTTCTGTCTCTATGTCTCTCTCTGTCTGTCTGGCAAGCGCATGTGCCCTATAGCGAAAACCTCTAAAAAAAAAAAAAAAAATCCTAAAGAAACACTGTAATGCGAGTGTATAAAGAACCCCAAATTCTAATTATAAAAAACCCTGATAGTCTGGAAAACAAATTTACTGGATTATAATTTGCTTAGAATGACCCATTTCTTCCCAGGCGTCTGTAAGTTGTAAAATAGAATTGTTTTTCTATTTACTTGTCACATGGTTTTTCAGATTTGAGTTATGAGATGTGTTTCTCACTTAGCATTCTATAGTTGTCTTTGCAATAAAGCCATGATTTCTATTTCAAAATAAAAATTTCTTATAATCATAGGAAGCTCTGGAAAGGATTATAGAGGTCATCCAACAGTCTGATTTGTAGATGAGGAGTCTGAGATCTGGAGTGTTTGAATTCTAAGTCCTTCAGCTGATTTGTAGAAGAGCCTGGACTGGCGCCCAAGAGTCTGAACACCTAATTCAGGGCATTTTTACCTCAAATTACTTATATGTAAGTGAGTGGAATGTTCAATTAAAAAAAAACAAACAAAAAAATCTAAGTTTATAGGGTTTTATCATAAATTCAAGCCCAATATATCAAAATTGTACCACTGTCTACTTCAAGACTTAGTAGTATGATTAATATTACTTGTGATTTTTTTTTTCCAAATTGAGTAGAATTCACAGAAGAGCTTGTCTCTGACGTTATCCGTATCATTTGGATATATTAAGTCATCAGACTTCCCTTGAATTACTCTGATAACTCTCCAGTGTGATTATGACCTCTTCTGAGAATGGTCTGTGTATTTCCAAATGCAGACTGGAAAAATGTCTCCTCTTTATTGAAAATAAATATGCAGTCATTACCCACGTTCTAGCCACTTGGCTTTTTAGTATAATAGTAAAGATAAAAGAGAGAAATTCAAGATCTTATCATGAAAAAAGAAAAAGGTAATATTAGTGATGTTAGACTAGCTGCTACAAATTTAATCTACATTGTGACCATTTTTGTTAAAAATTCAGTCTTAGCCTATCAAACCTGTCCTAGTTTTTTATGCCACCCAGGAACATTGCATGTTTTTTTTATTATGAGCCTTATATTTTAACTATATATATTTCCAAATGCAGACTGGAAAAATGTCTCCTCTTTATTGAAAATAAATATGCAGTCATTACCCACGTTCTAGCCACTTGGCTTTTTAGTATAAATAGTAAAGATAAAAGAGAGAAATTCAAGATCTTATCATGAAAAAAGAAAAAGGTAATATTAGTGATGTTAGACTAGCTGCTACAAATTTAATCTACATTGTGACCATTTTTGTTAAAAATTCAGTCTTAGCCTATCAAACCTGTCCTAGTTTTTTATGCCACCCAGGAACATTGCATGTTTTTTTTATTATGAGCCTTATATTTTAACTATATAATATACCATGTGCATAGGGAGTAACTCCATAATTTATAATTTCATATGAGATGCTTCTCTGATAGTGACCCAGAGAATTACAGAGGATTAAAAATTAAATTAATTTATAATCCTTTTCCTTTTATGTTTTCCACAGACAACTTGTATATATGTGTTTTGTATGTGTGTATGTGTGTTTTGTTTTACATTTACTGTTTTTCAGGTGCACTTCTCTGAAGTAAGATGACTTGTCAAAAATTCTGTATGGTTTTCTTGCACTATGGTAAGTTATTTGCCATTTTATTGCCCTTAATGTAAGCTGGAGATTTGTCCTAAGAGATGATGTTTTACTGACTAACAGAATAATTATTTTCTAGTTAAGAATTCTTTTATATGCTGGGTGACTAAAAATGCAAATCAAACAGCAGTGTAAATGTATCAATGAATATCCTTTCTAGCCTCCTGAAAATAACTTGATGATCTATCCTTCCAGAATTGTATCACAAATATGCACATACACATGCATATCTATTGTTGTAAAAATAGAATTGGTCTATATGTGTCTTCTATATATTTTTTCTACGTGACAGATTTTTAATTTATCAGGATGTATTTGAACAGTATTTACTGATGTTCTTATTAGTTTAATGGTTGCGTGTTAATGCCCTGTATGATTATATCTTAAATGATTATTTATTTGACCAATTTTTGATTGATAGCCATTTCTTTACCTTTAACAAATAATGCTACATTGAAAATCCATAATACATGTATCTTCAGAAGAATATTTCTGTAGATTAATTCCTAAAGAAGAATTTCTATATTGAATAGTAGCTACATTTTTGAATTTGATACCGTAAAATTTATTCCACAAATCTTGGTACTACTTGCTGCCCCAATATGACTACATGAGTGCTTTTTCCATTGAATTTCTGCTAAAGATCCTTATTATAAATTTTTTACTTTTTGCCATTAGATAAGCAAAATATTATTTATTTGCTGATTCGTGAGTTTGAGCATTGTTTATTGATTATATTTCTGATGTAGTTTCGTAGTTTATATGTTTTGATCATTTTATTGGGTTTTATTGGTCTTAGTTGAATTTTAGGAATTCCTACAATATAACAGATTTAGCCCTGTGTTAGGACTCTTTGGAGAACCAGAACTAGTAAGGTTTGTGTGTGTTTGTGTGTCCGTGTGCGTGTTTGTGTGTGTGTGTGTGTGTGTGTGTGTGTATGAGAGAGAAAGGGAGAGAAAAAGAGAGCAGACTGGTTTCATAGCCTAGTGGTTAAGGTAGCTGGATCCTTCATGGCCAACCATGTGGTTGGAATCTTGGACCCAGAGGCTTTAGAAACACACTGGGTGCATGTGTGTGCATGCCCAAACCCAATAGGATGGGAAAATGAAGAAGGGATTGCGGGCATGACTCATGCCCAAGAGAGACTGCTTTCTCTCTCTCCCTCTCTCCCTCTCTCTCTCTCTATCTGTCTTCCTCTGTTTCTCTCCGGTGAGCACATATTCCCTCTGGCAAAATTTTTAAGAGAGAGGGTAAGAAAGAGAGAGAGAGATAGAGAAAGAGATTACAGGGAATTGGCTCCTGAACTAATGAAAGCTGAAAAGTCCCAAGATCTGCAGTTGTAAACTAGAGACCCTGGAGATCTGGTAGTGTAATTTCAGTCTTAGTCTAAAGGTCTGAAAGCCAGGAGAACCGATGGTGTAAGTTACGATCTGAAAGTCAGTAGACTTACAACACAAAAGACTATTTTAGTTCTTGTCCGATGGCAGGAAAGACTGATGTCTCAGCTGAAGGCAGTTAAGGCAGCAGGAGTTCCTTCTTTTTCAGTATTTTCCTTTTTAGGACTTCGTTTGATTGGATGAGGCCCAGCCATATGAGCAAGGGCAATGCACTTTACTGAATTTACCAATTCAAATGGTTACCTTATCCAGAAATATCCTTACCAATGTACCAAAAACAATGTCCGACTAAATTTCTGAGTACTCCCTGGACCTAGTCAAGCTGACACATAAAATGAACTGCAACAAACCTTAACAATTTATTGTTTGCAAATATTTTCTCATTGTTCATTATTTGAATTTTCACTTTGTTTTCTTTTATAGTACAGAAATATATATATATAATATATATAATATACATATAACATAGAAATATATATATATATATATATTATATATAATATACATAGAAAATAGAACATATATATATTCTATAATAGACCTTATGTTACAGCAAGATTGTGATGAAGGTGCTGAGATTTCTCATCTACGCCGCATGCACAGCTTTCTCCGTTAGCAATGTCCCTCACCAGAGTGGCACATTAGTTACAACAGATGAACTGACATTGATACATCATTGTCACCCAAAGCCCACAGTTCACATTAGTGTTTACTGTTGGTGTACATTGACTGGGTTTTGATGGATATTCAATGGCATTTATTCACCATATAGAAATATATAGAGGAGTTTCACTGCTTTGTTATCCTCTGTGTGCCAGCTCTTCATGCCTCCACACCTATGGCTCCTGACAGCCCCTGTTCTTAAAACCATGTGTCCATGGTTTTGCCTTTTCCACAATGTCATGTAGTTGGAATCACACCATTTTTAGCTTTTTTTAGATTGGCTTCTTTCGCTTAATAGTTTGCATTTAAGTTTCCCCATGTTTTTTCATGGCTTGGTAGTGCATTTCTTTTTAGCACTAAGCAAATTGTGATATACCACAATTTATTTATCCATTTGCCCACTGGTAAACATCTTGGTTGCTTATCTTTTCTTACACTTTTACATTTACTATGATTGTTCTCTATTCTCATTCCATACAGATTCAATGTCAGAATTCTCATTCTGTAGTAGTGTGTAATGGGTAACACAATTGTTGGATTATTTAGGTAACTTGTAAAAAAAAAAAAAGGAATTATTATGTGACTTTGAAAAAAATTACTTATTTTCAAAAAGTTTAACATTTTTGGGACCAGCAGTTAGCATAATGGCTATGTCGCTGGATTCCCATATAGTCGACCGTGGTTCGAGTCCTGGACCTGGTGGCTTAAAATCACGCTGGGTGCGTGTGCGTGCATGCCTGAGATCCCAAGAGGAGAAGGGATTGCAGCGTGGCCATCCCCCCTGGGGGTGATTTCTCGCTTTCTGTCTCTCTGTCTTTCTTTGTCTTTCTGGCAAGTGCACGCATCCTATAGCAAAAACCTCTCAAAAACATTTTTTTTAACATTTTTGTTAGGGGATTATATATTTATTCTTAATTTTTATAGATTTACAAAGTGACATTCTAATCAGAAGTAGAAGTTTCCTATAAGAAGTCTATCACTGTGCATCATTTTTTTGGGGAGTGTGTGAAGAGCATGTCTTTTATGATGTTTTATGTCTGAAGGATTATAGGGAGATTCAGGAGATCATCTCGCTATACTCATATCAATTCTTTGTTTTCTTAAAAATTACTTATTTAATTTTACTTATTTTTATTTTTAATTTGCTATATGGCACGTGTCTTCACCAGAGAGAGAAGGAGAGAGGGAGAAAGTGAGAAAGCAGGCTGCCAGGTCTGGAACTCCCACTATTTTTGACCCATGTGGGAGTGTAGCACCCTAAACCACCAAGCCACCTGCTGGCCCCTCAGCTCTTTCTTAAAGCACTGAGTTAAAGTACTATTACCGTTATCATATTACTCTAATAAAAAATATTACAACAGTATTTTAATGTTTGCACACTTAATACAATTGCACTCTTAGACATTTTCTATTTATGGTAGAAGTTAGAATTATTCATTTACAGAAAGCAAATAAAATACTCACTGTTAAAGTTCACTTTCCTTTGGGAACCAGCAGTTAGCATAATGACTATGTCGCTGGACTCCCACGGTTCGCGCCCCAGACCTGGTGACTTAGAACTCATGCCAGGCGCGTGTGCATGCATGTCCAAGATCCCAAGAGGAGAATGGAGGAGAAGGGATTGCGGCGTGACCATCTCCCCTGGGGGGTGATTTCTCACTTTCTGTCTCTATATCTCTCTCTGTCTGGTGAGCGCATGCGCCCTATAACGAAAACCTCTTAAAAAAAAAAAGTTTACTTTCTTTTTATTAGCATGTACATATAAGATGTCAGGTTAATGAGGAAAATGAAGCATGAATTTCCATAAAGAGGTGCCAGAGAATGGAGTAGTTGCTATACCTAAGTGTGTCCGCTGGTGTGTAACACATTGTAGTGTGGAAGCACAGGGCCATTCATTAGGCATTGCTGGAACACTTAGAGAGTTAAATGGTTATTTCTGAGCATTGCACGGTTTAATCTCAGATATTTCCTATTTTGTGTCTCAGTCAAAATAATTGCTTGTTGTATGTCTTTTTAATGTCCAAACAGAATTTATTTATGTGATAACTGCATTTAACTTGGCATATCCAATTACTCCCTGGAGATTTAAGTTGTCTTGCATGCCACCAAATACCACCTACGACAACTTCCTCTTGCTTGCTGGAACCTCAACAAACACTTCAAAATGGAATGGACATCATGAGGCAGTTACTAAAGCTAAATTGAATTCAAGCGGTACCTACTTATCCAACTTATCCAGGACAACTTTTCACTGTTGCTTTTGGAGTGACCAAGATAAAAACTGCTCTCTACATGCAGAAGGGAAGATATTTGTCTCAACAGTAAATTCTTTAGTTCTTCAACAAATAGGTAAGTATTTTAATATTCTATATGTTAGCTGTTATTTTTTTTAAACTGTGTTGAACAAAGTGTTTTATTATCTGAAACCTTTAGGAATAGATGCTGTATAGATATGATTCTTTAGATAAGTCTATATAAATATATATATAAATCTATCTATCTATAATATATATTTTTTAGTTTTTTTTGTCATAGGGCAGGTACACCTGCTGGAGGGAGATAGAGAGAGGGAAAGTGTGAAATCACTCCCCCAGGGGGATGACCATGCCAAAATCCCTTCTTCATTCTCCTCTCAGGATTTTGGGCATGTGTGCACACATGCTCAGAGTGATTTTCAAGCCTCTGTGTCTGGGATTCGAACCACAGTTGAACATGTGGGAGTCTAGTACCTTCACTACCATGCCACCTACTGGGCCCTGTATTAGCATTTTAATATTTGTAATAAAATTAGGATTCATCATGTGACCAACCTAATAAATAAATCCCAAGGTATTTTATCTCTCATGCAAATATAAGAAAACTCTTTTATCTCTAACCACATTCCTTGTAGTCTTTCTAATTTGCTTTGAAATAGAAAAGGCACATCTTATTTTTGTTAAATGGTGAAATAATGACTAATATAACTGTTGAATTAAATTTTAAAATGTTTCTTAATGATGATATTTATTCAGGCAAGGAATCTCTTCAAATGATATATATATTAAATAAAGAGGTTTTAGTTTTAAGTATAATGTATCATGAATGTAGCTAGTGTAGTTAGTAATTATGCATCTGGAAATATAAACAGCAAATTTATTTCCAAGTCTTTCAGAAAAGCTAAAGAGAGCAGAGGCAATTGACTCAGCCTACAATGTGAAACTATAGGAGAATATAGCACTCCTTCATAGGGTTAATAAGACTTTATCAGTTATTGCTACTAACATTTTGGGCCAGATCATTCTTAGTTATGGGCTGGGGGCGGGGGCTGTCTTGTGCATTGTGAGACGCTTAGCAATGGCCTTAACCTCTACACACTAGGTACCAATAGCACTCCCTCTCCAATTGTAATAAACAAAGAAAGAAACAAAAAACAACAAAGAACAACTCTGGGGCTAGCAGGTAGCATGGTGGTTGAGGCACTGAACTCCCACGTGGCTGACTGCAGTTTGAGTCCTGGACCTGGTAGCTTGCTTTCATACTTTCCCTCCCTCGAGGTCTTTCTCTCTCTGGTGAGCATGCATTCCTTGTAGCAAATTGAAAAAATATTAATATGATAAATAAAATTAAAGAAAAACAATTTAAGAAAAAAAGAAAGGTAAGAACAACTCCAAATGTTCCTAGATGTTCCCTGAAGTACTTAATTGGCTCTGGCTCAGCACCATTGGTTAAATGGAAAAACATTCGAGTATATTGAATCAGTCTAGTAGTAAGAATAAATCATAAATGTGCAATAAGATCATATTTTTAAAACAAGTTAGTAATAACTCCCAGTGTCTCCAATTCAGTTCATAACCATTCATTCAATTTGAAAGGAAGCACTTTTTAAACATATAAGAAACTTAAATCAGCTAATTCAGAGATTACTAATTATACTAAAAATTAATTTAGGAAGTCATAGTCTTAGCTATAAGCCATAAGTGATTAAAAACTATCAGTATTTTCTTTAATCATGTAGAGGAAATGATTATGATGCTGTAGATCTTAATTTTTTATTATAAACAAAGGCTAATAATTAGTTAAATGAATTGGAGTTTTCATCTTTAAAATGACTTAGATTAAAGCTGTTTACTCAAAAGGTGCTCACCAGCATTACACGGTCTCTACTTAGCAGAAAATCTTGCTTGTTTGGAGAAAATATGAAGGATCTTAAAACAAACGTAGGTTACAAAAACAAAACGTGGTGAAGATCTTCCTCTTAGTGATGAAAATGGATGATGAACTTTGGCTGTGAATCAGGCATGGGTACATCCATCTGTCCACCTAGTCTCCACATGATGTTGTAATCCAGGCCTGGAGGGGGGAAGAAAAAGCAAAAGCAAAAACTGAAGAAAAGTTGGGTTGGGGGATGATCCTTGAGTAAAACAGCTGGTGTGTTTAATTGTAGAAAGTTGAGCTCTCTGGTTTGAAGGGGGCTGATGGGGACCGATGGTGAGGAACATTTCAGATATAATTAGAAGAATGTGGGGAGGCTGGCTGGCTGAGTTTGATTCATTTTCTGAATGGGAAGTTGGAATATATCAACACTTAGAATTGTTACACAGTCTGCAGTTTTGGCTTCTTATATAAAGATATTTAATATCTGAAAAAATAAATATAGAAAAATGCATATTATGAAAAAAAAGTCCATGGATTTCCAAAACTTTTTGCACCAAAAATAAACTTGTACTTTAATTCCATTTTTTCTGTGAATTGTTTGAATGACCCTCATATATTAGTGTTTTCTTAAATTAGTGATGATTTTCATTGGTTGCTATTATTGCTTTCTAAATTACAAATTATCAATAGTTTACTTTCATTACTATCAGGTGAGTTTTTTTTTTTTTGAGGGTTTTTTTGCTATAGGGCATGTGCGCTCACCAGACAGACACAGAGAGACAGAAAGTGAGAAATCATCCCCCGGGGGGGATGGCCATGCCGCAATCCCTTCTACTCTGTTCTCCTCTCGGGATCTTGGGCACGCACGCACTCACGCCCGGCGTGAGTTTAAGCCACCGGGTCCGGGATGCAAACCACAGTCGACTACGTGGGAGTCCAGCGACATAGCCATTACGCTAACTGCTGGTCCCTAGGTGAGTTTTTCAGGGTACAGTGAAATTACTTAGCCAATAGCATTTTGTGCCTATAATATTGCAGTAAAAAGAATGTCAGGCCAGCATCAGAGTTACGATGTGAATCACTGACTTTATTTGTTGATGCAGATTCATGACTATCCCTCCATATTTCTTGTATCTTGATATTTAATGATCTTTTTCTTTCTTGAAAAGTGAGAATGAACTGCATTAGTGAGTTTAAGGGTTTTCTTTGTCTACTTAAGTGGTTTTGGATTAAAGTTTGAAAAGCAACAATTGAATTTAATTGTCTTACTTAATAAAAAAGGGAACCAAAGGCCAAAGGGATGAAATGACTCGAGCAAACATATCCCCCTAGTTAGATAGAGCCTGTTCTTTTCCTCTCAGAATGGGCAATGGAAGTTGTATCAGAACACTGGGAAATTTAATTTAGCCCTTCTTTCACTGAGTTGTTCAGAATGTTTTTCAGATCTCATGCAATTTATTTTTAATTCAGGTGTAAACTGGAACATACAGTGCTGGATGAAAGGGGACTTGAAATTATTCATCTGTCTTATGGAGTCATTATTTAAGAATCCTTTTAAGAATGATGACCGTAAAGTTTATCTTTTGTATGATCTGTAAGTACCAAATAAATTAATTTGGATATTTCTACCACATAGATTTTTTTTAAAAGACCTTCCATATATAACAATGGATTATGGAAACTCTCCAAGGCCTGTATTTTCTTATGTATCTTTGTACATTTACAGGTAGCAGTTTGTATTTTTTTTTAAATGTTATTGTTCTCCATTATTCTTCTTTTCTCCTCTTATAGATTTGGGTAGCTAACATTGTGTGGGCATATAGTCTGAAAAACATGTGAACTCAATTCAGGGTCCTAAACATTTGATTTGCAAAGGGATTATTAAAAACTTGTTTTAGGGACCAGCAGTTAGCGTAATGGCTATGTCGCTGGACTCCCATATAGTCGACTGTGGTTCGAGTCCTGGACCCAGTGGCTTAAACTCATGCCGGGCACGTGTATGTGCGTGCCCAAGATCCTGAGAGGAGAATGGAGGAGAAGGGATTGTGGTGTGGCCATCCCCCTGGGGGTGATTTCTCGCTTTCTGTCTCTCTGTCTCTCTCTGTCTGTCTGGCAGGTGCACGTGCCCTATAACGAAAACCTCTCCAAAAAAAGAAAAAAAAAACTTGTTTTATATTGCTTCTTCACAGGATTAAAAAATATTGGACCTTTTTATAACCTTAAAAAGTATAGGTACCTAATATTTATTTGCACTAAGTAGAGCTAGCCAAGATGGGTTTTCACAGTCATAGTCTTACAATTCTAAGAGCTAATTTATTATTTTAGCTTTCTAGTAACTCCAGGTATTAGAACTATAATATATCCCATATACTGATATACCCTACTTATATGCAAATTTTAGCTCTTTGACATTTTTTTCCTCATTGGTTCTTTTATTTGATAAGAAGAAAGAGATTCTTCTCTTGCAGTTCTAAATTATTGAGATCATACCATTGAGAGGCAATATTCTAGGAACTGTCTCTATAAAGATGAATAGAAATAGAAAATGGAATAGTGGTTACCAGGGGCTAGAGGGAGAGGGGGGAGTGAGAAGTTATTTAATGGGTGCAGAGTTTCAGGTTGGGAAGATGAAAAAGTTCTGCTGTTGGTAATGGTGGTGCTTGCTTAACGCTGAGACTAGGCCCAGACACTGTGGCTCAGGCAGTAGGTTCCTGCTGTGTGATACTGGAGCCATATGGGGGGCCCGTGTTTGAATCCCAGATGGAACTAAACATTCAATTGCACCACACATTCCTGGGATCCTGGCTGGTTGGAAGGCTGAGGGGAGGATTGAAGTGTGCTAAGACTCTGTTCGTGAAAGAAAGAAACTAGAAACAAACAAACAAAACAACGTGGATGTACTTAATGACAGTAACCTGTACACTTAAAATTGTTGAGATGGTAAATTTTATGCCATGTATATTTTAGCACAATAAAAAAAGAACTTTTCATAAACCTTGTAAAAAAAGAAGTTGAAGAGTTAGGATTTCTTCCTCTGAGGTGCTCATAGGCTAGTAGTAAGGTGAGACATGCACAGGGTTTTGATTTCAGTGGTGATTGATACATATTTGATAGGCATATGAAGTCATGGGCATGCTTAATTATTGTGGGGGCCAGTGATAGAGGGGATTATCTAGTCCAGTTGGTGAAAGAAGAGCAGAGCAAGGCTCCCTAAGACAGAGAGGGGAAGAGAGAGAAAGAAAAAGACTTCTAGGGATGAATAAATGCAAATAAGAAAGAAGGTGTGTGAGCAGAAGTGTTGAGAAGATCAGCATTACCCAGAGACGTGTAGAAATTTAAGTTGGTTAGATCCATCCCAGAACTAGTGAATCCAAAATTCTGGAAGGAGGCCTTTTGAATTTTCTTTTACCAAGTCCTTTAGGTGACCCTAATAAAACTCAGATTTGAGAATTCTTGATGGAGAGATTAAGAGGAGAAATTCCAGAGTTAGACTAACTGATTCTACAACTTACTATGTGTACCCACATAGCAGTTACTATGTTTAATGGCAGTTCTACCTTCAGAGAAAAACTCAGTGGAAACATTCACAAAAATGCTTAAAAATTATCTGTTGCATAAATGAACACATATTGTCAAAATGTTTTCTAAATATTTTTCTAATTTGCCCTCCAAAAATGTCTTAATGGGCCATTGGAAATGACACAACACATTTTTCTGTTTTTTTTTTTTCTATGCAAAAATGCATCATGACTTTTCAGACGACTCAATATTAAAAAATAAACTATTATCTAAATGTGAGAGAAGTGAGTGGTTAATGGTCAGATACAGCAGAAGGGCATAGCATAGTTTGAGTATTATGCATGCATTTGGCAATGTGGAAGTCATGGGTCTTAGCCACGACTGGTTCCATTTCTCTGGAGAGGAGGAGTGTCCCTGGAGTGGCCAGGACAAAAGGAAACTTGGAGGAAGGATCCTAAAAAGCTGACCTCTCTCAGGAGGATGGTATTAGTTTTCTAGGCATTTGATAGAACGACCCTGTAGAGCCGGAAATCATGTGTCTGAGGAAGGAATGCCAGACAGTTGGTTTAGAGGACTCACTGAGGATGCATCCTAGGGCAAATCCTGAGACTCTGGGGAAAAAAATCCGAATAGTGGGACCAATTGCTGCTGTTCAGGTGAGGTACGTTTGCTGGGGTGATACTTTCTAGAATGGGAAGTGAAACAGGAAGAGTCGAGTTCCTTGTTCCTCCATTAGCCTTCTTTTCAATAGTTTCCTTCTAGTTCCCCTCTAGGAAGAATTTAACAATAATCTAGGTAGTAGAGAACTATGGTTTGCAGAGTTTCAGCCTCAGTGTGACAAAACAGAAGGTAGGGTGAGTTTGAAGACTCCACTCTATTGAGAGACAATAGTTTGTTTATGCAAAAAGACCCAGCAGAAGGAGAAAAGTTGAAGATATGGTAAAACAAGACCATTCAAGATATAGTATAGGGAGTGGATAATTGAATAGGTAAGTTCCAGAAAAAGAGCATAGTAGGAGGGTTGGTCTTAGAATGAAGAAAACTCAATTTCTGAGCACTGAGAGAAGAAAGGAAGTACAGTGGTGGATGAAGACATAAAATTTGGGGCAGAGAGTTTCCTGCTTTATTGAGAAAAACAGATTTTAGCTCAGAAAAATTATTTCTTTATAAAGTAGCACATTCTTATGATTACCTAAATGCTTTGGATGGTGACCAGAAATCTTATTATTCTACAGAATTTCAAATCATTTCAGCAAGCTAGGGCAATGTGCTTAGTTTTAAAGCCCCATAAACATGTGTAAGGGTTTATATTCTCTTTTTTTAGACAGATTTTTGCTATATGGCACATGTGCTTGCTGGAGAGACAGAGAGAATGTAAGAAATCACCCCGTAAGGGGAATGGACATGCTGCAATCTCTTATTCTCATTCTCTTCTTGAGATTTTGGGGATGCAGGGTTTACATTCTATTTATAGCTATGTCTTGAGATTTTCCTGTTCTGAAAAAAATATAAGAGTATTATACATACAAATAATAATGTAGCTACAGCTGAGAATTTTAATTTCAGTTTAGTCAGCTGAGTGCTCATTCATCTATTTAGCTAAATGATAGGATGCAAGAAAATGAGAAAGTTACAATAAATTAAGTAGATTTTTAAACTTGTTTATATGATAAATTCAACAGATTCTTTCAGTCTGTTCTTATTTTGAACCAGGCTTCTAAAAAACCTTAGTACAGTAAAACCCATCATAATTGCGTGCAATTTGAGGAAAACACTCTCATTTTTCTGCTATGTTACATATCTCTGTATTATTTGACTAGTTGTTCATTATAATAATTATATGTTATTTTTGCCTTTAAGTCTCTTTTTGTGTGCCTTTTAGCTAATACTTCTCCAAATAATGCAAGTAAGACTGTTCAGAGCAGGAGGAAGAACTGGGCAGTATAACAAATGATACCTCCACAGGAGAGAAAAATCCATAATGGTGGTTGTAACAGAAAGGTTTTTAATCAAAATCATATTTCCTAGACATTAGAGAATTCACAAGAGAAATCTTTCAAATGCTTCCATATGTAAAAAAATAAAAAGATAGATCTTTTAGGGAACTAAAGCCTAATGGAATTGAAAACCCTATAAATATATCTTACTAGGAGAGAAAACAATATTTATGCTCAGATATTTTGTCAGAGAATCTGAAGGAGCGATCCCCTTGAAATGTGCTATTTTAAAAACTGCTCTAGACATTTCATCTTAGACCCAGGAAGGAAATTCACTTCTTCCTGTTAGATGCCGACTGTGTATTGATCTTAGTGTGGGGAACTATACGGAAGTGTTACACCGACCCAAACATGGGAAACAATACTCAAGAGCGTAGATTTAGCCCCTGCCCTCCTGGAGCTGTTAGTTTGCTATAAGAGTAGAAAACAAAGTTTGAAAATGATAGGAAGTCGTAAGTACACGGACTTACGGAAACATGGACTGGGAATGTTCAGCCTGTATTAACAGGAGTCAGAGGAGAATGAGGCAGAGAGAGCAGAGAACATTTGTCAAGGTCCAGTGTCATTATATAGCACATTCAAGGACTTGAATAGATGAATGTGGTTGGGATGAGAAGCAGGGGAAAGAAAAGAAATCTGGTGGAAGAATAAGCAAGGTTCCAATCATGAGGAACCTTCCAGATCTTGTGAGAGAGTTGAGTGTTCTGTAACTACTAACAGCCAAAATGCTAAGTCTCTTTCCCACTACTCTTGTCAGCATTTTCAGTGATTTCTACATCTCTGTGAATATTTTAAATTTCTTGACTCCATAATTCTTTTATATTCTCATTTTACTCATTCTATTTGGTTCACCCATTCTCACGGACATGCTCTAGAATGTATTATCACTGATATACGTGCTGTATCATCTCAATTTCAAGAATTCCATTCTGAAAATCTCTCCCCACACACTGCATGTTACTTCATTCCCTCTATTATTCAACTTTAGAAATAATTCTCCATGGTCCTTGACTCCACCTTCTAGGTGCTTGTTCTGGCCTGAGTCACCTTCCTTCTTCATGGAAAGTAGCATGTATCT